TATTGGTGTCAGTGTAGTAGTATGGTATACTGTATGGGGTATGATGTTGGTGTCAGTAGTCTACAACGTACCTTTTCCCTAAAACAGATGTTATAAAACACATGGATGCAGGTAACAAACGATCACCACGCAAGGCTCGTATGACCATCAGTCTTTGAATGGGAGTGTACCTAACCCAACGCAATAGAAAAACAAATAGTTAAGACATTAGGTAACCTTGTATGACATGGGTATATATAATTATTGTACATACTTGTCATCTAGCCCATCTGGTAACGCTACTAGTTCTGGTTTCTCGTGTTCAGTGATCTGTCTCCACTGTGTTTCACGTCCATCCTTGGCCATTTTGTCAAATGGGTCTTGAAACCACTCAAAGTGTTGTGCTAAAAGCTGAAAAACGAAGTGAGATCAATAAAAGACAGTAACACAATCTTATTGATAAAGGTGTTTATCTACCTGTAAGTTTGCATATTGTTCATCGTGCATCCAATCAAAAGGCTTCTTTCCTTGTGCTCGTGATGACAAGTCTGAAGCAAGGTTTGGATTCAGCGCTGTTTTCACTGTTGCACCAAATGTTGGATGAATCAGGAACTCGCGATCACCAGCACTAATGCGATTAGCCGAATCTTCCACCTGAAAACAAGAGGATATTAGCTTTAGTTCCACTGTTAATTACGATAGGTACATGTGCGTAACCCGAACCTCTCAAGAGTATTTCTAAGTAAGCATAAAATGACGCTTATTTTAAAATGACGCGCGTATAATGACATTATTGCTAATGAATCGCTCACTGTAAAGATTCCTAGAGTAAAAGAACGATAAACGAGACATGTATAATGTTATGTAGTGAAACCTCAAGAGCGGTCAGTATGGTAAAGATAGGTCTGTCCTGCTCAAACAATGATCTTGCTGTTGTATAGAAAGCACTGTAACCAAGACGTTCAACCACTGCCTTTACTGCGGTTCTGCAAAGGACATATCAAAGTGGTTAAAAAAATCTGTCGTGTCGTTAATCACGCAATGATTTAGAGTGGGCTAATAAGTTGCAGCTGCGCATGTGCGTAGCCATGACATAACCCTGAGAGATTATTGTAAGTCTTACCGTTCAGAGTGAGTAATAGCAGCATCAAAAACGACAAGAAACTGAGACAAGGATGTTTGGTAGGCGGGGTTGATTTCGGACATCACACGTGTCACGTCAAACATGACAGCAGCTCGACGAGCGATTGGTCGATAGCCTTCACGTGACTGTAAGATGGAATTCTCTATACCTCGACAACGCATTTGGCTAAAAAAATAATAAAACCAAGTAACCATCATCACTACGAGAACATCAATAATTCAGTGTAACTTGATACTCGAAAGAGATGCCAACCTTTCTAGCGTTTCATCGTATAATCGTTTGATAGAAGCCAGTTTTTTGGTAGCAGCAAGATTATACAACAAACGATGTCCACTACCAAGACACGACAAAATATTCTCTTCAGCAGCGTGTAGACCCTCCATTAAAGACACCATTTCCTGCAACACACACGACAATCATGTTTTAATGAAATGTTCAGGGGTTACAGTGTAATGACTTAATAATCTCACCGTGATGACTTGTGTTCTAGTCTCCTGCATTCTTGGTTTCTCAAGCCTAAAGAATCGATCAAGAAACATTTCTTCCAGGCCGTCACGTGACTGGACGAATTCCACGACATTGACGTAGGCTGACAGGCCTGGTGGCACAGCCTCAGCTGGTGACGTAGTTGCGAAAACCAACCTACAATCGAAGTTTTAAAAGAATTAAGAAAAATATACAATCGAAGCAAATTTTATCCATGATCAATACCTGAATCCTGGCTGACACTCGATTTCATGTTCACCGATCTGACAAGAGAAGAGAAAACGTGTATATAGTATATATAAATATCAACACAGTCCCTCCTCTTCTGGATGTTAAAGGAACAGGGGCTTGCTAGCCATGGTTGGAAATACTGGGTGGGATATGATTGGTGTGTTATGTCATGGGATGTAGGGGATGTAGGTAGGACGAGGGATTTAGGTACGTACCATAAGTTTGAACGGTGAAACAGAAGTTAAAAACCTGTATCTACTTCTCAAGATATGATAGAATCTGCTATCAGTCACAAGACTGTTCACATCAACGTCTGTTATCAGCAGGGTGGTGCCCTCCATTAGCGATGTTTCTAAGTGACCACGCAACTCCTGTTACAAACAATACCAGTCAGTCATATCCTGATTATTATTTAACAATCTATGGTATTAGGGAATAAGGCATGTACCTTATACTTGACGGTGGATGCCTGACCCAGCATGGTATTGACCCATGTGATAGCAATCCTCTGAGGATCACACAGTAATGGCCACGTGTCAGATGACTCTTCTTGAGATACGATGCACATGTTATCCAAGGACAAAGGATCTGTTGGGAGATTCATATTCTCCCATTTCTTCAAGGTAATCTAATGAATAAACACACCAGGTTATCTTAATCAATCAGTCAGTCAGTCAAGTCAAGTCAATCAGTTAGTGTCAATGACCTCGTACCTTTCCTTTCAGTAACTCTGCCAATGTCAACCGAGAGAAAAGATGTCTCATTTGGATATTCATGCCGTTCTCTCGACATACCTGCATGAAGTATTTACCCATACGTTTTCTACAAGGCAAGGAATAAACTGAATAAGACTATGATGATATATTAGCTAACTAACGACAGTGAGCAGATTCAAATAGTACCTTTGATCGATTACCATTGCACCACAGTAAGTAAGGAAAGCTGCAGCAGCAATGCAGTTGGCCAGCAGTATCTCTGGTGATGAATACTCCTGGACGTAGGCTTTCCATTCTTTTTCGATGTGTTTTAGGCTGGTTAATAAGATAATAAAATCTAAGTATGCTAGTTTGAATATCATCCCATGTATGGATGGATAGCACTGTTTACCTGTGCAGTAGGTCAGTAGCTTCTTTCAGCCTCTCACTGCACGATTTCACGTCATTCTCAAGATTATGTTTGATCACCACAGCATCATCAAACTCTTCTTGTAATTGTTTTACATCCTGCTGTAATCCTGGCAAGTCTGCTTCGGTTAGTTCTTCTTCAGGCTCAGGTTCGGCTTCCTACATGCATTATAAACATTACAGTATTGTCAAAAGAGCCATTACAAAAGTCATTAATATCTTTATTGTTATCATCACCATCATCATCATCATCATC